GCTACGCTCCGTTCGAAGAAAGTTAAATCCTTACGAGTCACGTGTCATTCCGCTCTCCCGTGACATTTGCCTCGACATAATCCAATGATAATAAAGAAATAGTTATTGCTTTATTTCTAATTTTCGTTTCTTTCTCAGTTCATTGTAAGTTGGGGTTAAGGTTTACTATTTTTCGTTCTTGGTAAATTTTATAAGTAATTTTTTCCTGATCTAGATATTCCTGGAGTGTTTGGGTGTCATTGATTTTAAAAACATAAGGTGCAATTTTTTCTCCTTTATCTTTAGCTTTCTTCAAAATACTTCTAATACTGCTGCAATTCTTTGGTTCCATGATGGATTTAATATAAATTAGTTTTATATTAATATTTTTTTATATAGAGATAATAATAATCATGTTATGGTTTATATTCATCACAAGTCCATAAGTTATGAATGAGCACCATTATTATTTTCAAAACGTCGTTAGTCACACTGGTCAATTTTACAGAATCAGCCTCTCATTTACATCACATAATGGAATGTTCACTTTGTCTGGTTTTGTTGCAGCATACCCCAAATTATCAGTTGAATAGTTCACCAAAATAACTGCCGATCATTTCCCTGTACATTTGTTTATTATTATTATTATCACGAGACAGGCTCTACGCTTCGTGTTCCAAACTTTTACGCAAATAATAAACGGCGAAATTTATCATTCAAAAACTTGAAGACGCGAATTCAAAACCACACGCCACGCTTATGTCAAGTGCAGAGCCTCTCGTCTCAGCAGAGTTAGCTTCTGTTGACTCTGACGAAAGATCTGACCTGATTGATTACGACATTGACGATCGAAGTGTCCTTTCTTTACGTGATGTTGGTGGACAGTTTGAGATCGTTAAAGAACAGCTTATTAATTACAAAACAAAGCTGGCCAGATATGAGAGTCAGATATCCGAGATGCAAATATGTATCGAAGATTTGACTCTCACGCGGGACTTGGCTGAGGAAGAAAAGATGTGTGCACAAACAGAGGTGGACGATCTTAACAAGCAAGTAGCCGATCTACAAAAGGAGCTCGAATCGGAACGGAAAAGCATTACATTTCAGAGCCTTAGCACCAATGAGCAAATGAAAGAACTGAAGGACGAGAATGAAAAACTTCGAACAGAACGAAACAATTTTGAAGATGAGAAAAGCTGCTTAAGCACCCAAGTAGAATCGCTTAGGAAGCGAGTAAACGAATTGTCGGTGCAAAATATGGATGCGCGCACTGAGATTGAAAAACTAAAATCAGCAAATTCTAAACTAGAAACTGACTTAAAAACTAGTAAGCAAAATAACCTGAATGCAGAAAAACAGATGGATAGTTTACAGAAAGAAATAGGGGAACTTGGTGAACAGCTCGCAATGGCGCGCAGACAAGGTAGTGAATGGATTGAAGAGTACGAAAGAGAAAATAAAAGGTTAGAACCGAGGCTGAGAGAATTGGGCGAGAAAAACCGAAATCTTGAAAAACAAAATGAATTCCTCGAGAAGCAAAGAAATGGATTGGAATCCCGAAAAAGGGAGTTAACCTTAGAGCAACAAAGGTTGATGAGTCAGGTAGACGATTTGAACAAAAATGCTGAAGTCATGAAAAGAAAGCATGAGACTCGGCAGGTGGAGATTACGGAACAACGCAAACAACAGTCTGAAACTATTAAGCAACTGATCAACGTTAATTATCAGTTGTCAGACGAGTTGAGTGAACAAAACAGAAGTCTGGAAAAGCAAAACGATCTTCTTGAGAAGCAAAATGACGAATTGGAATCTCGAAAAGAGGATTTGACTTCGGAACGAGATAGATTGACGAGTCAGATAGACGAATTAAACAAAAGTATAGAAGGTCTGAAAAGTAATTATGAGACTCGTCAGATGGAGTTGATGGAGAAACGAAAGCAACAATCTGAGACTCTGAAACAGGCATCCAAAGTGAATAATCAATCATTGGGTGTCAGCAGAATTAAAGCAAATTCTGGTTCTAGCCGAAGATCGACCAGGAGTATCATGTATGTCAATATTGACGCGTATTTATGTGTATCTCGATTTTCTTTAGCGGATTTTTGAACACATTTTTCGAATAGGCGGGAACAGGAAATAGAGATGTCGTTACAAGAAAGCGCGCAAGCAATTGGATATGTGGACGAGCTTGTCCGTTTTGTTTCTCAACAGGGTAATGTTCGGCGAACGAGCATCAACAGCACAAATAGTATAAGTAGCACGAATCGATCGGACAGTTTACCATCATCACGGTCGTCTATGAAGGTAACACTAAAAGGCAAATGTTATCTTAAGTTTAATGATAATAACTAACCTTTGTTTATAATGTCGTCTTAGGAAAATGACAAATTAATTGAAAAAGTAAGGGATTTAGAAAACGAGTTACAGTCAGCAATATCGAGTAAGAAAGCACTTACTTTGGAAAAGGCTTTATGGGTTAAAGAAAAATCTGATCTCAGGCAGCAGCTAAACAATTTTCACAAGGTGTGTTTTTTATTATGCTTTAGTGGCTTTCAACCGTCCCTGACCTATATTTGATTATAGGAGTCAGAGAGATATCGTAAAAAGAATTCTTCAGTAACTGAACTTGAGGCTCGTATTAGGAGGCTGCAAAAAGGTGAGATGGATAGCGAGTAAACGTTCCGAGCCAAATTTTATTTATTATTAATAGAAATTGTGTATTTTGTTTAGAGAAGGATGTTGCAGCTGAACGTTCTGCCCAGAAGATTGCGGATTTGCAGCATGAACTTCAAAATGTGAAGGAGAAATTAACAAAGATAATAAAGGAGAAAAGCGTAATACTTAAGGAAAAGTCCGAGCTACAGCGAAAATATCTTATTGCAAATGAGGTAATTGGACTGCACATGATGTTGCTGATAGCTAACAAACCTGCAGTATGTAAATAACAACTGATAAAATTTGTGTATTCACGGCGCAGATGAAGGAAACTCTGGATTTAGACATACAGGCGGAGAAGGAACACGTCAAGGCACTAGAAGTACAGTTACAAACTGTTACAGAAGAATTACAATTCGAACGACGTGATCATCTAGAAAAGCGTGAACAACTGTCACGTTATGAAGATCAGTTGCAATCAATTCAAGAGCAGTATAACAAACTCCGCAACGAATCGAGTCATATGCAACACGGCTTAGGAAACGAGCAAAGGTTCCAAGGAATGAATTTGGTAAGCATGGAGATTGTATGCGTATATTATGGTGGTAGTTTGATATGTAATTGTATAATCGACATTTACTTTACGTTTTTAAAAGGTGTCAAATTACGACGATGACGAGATGCGATTTTTAATGAATGAAAATATAAAACTCAACAATGAATTGCTGGAATTGCATAACCGTGTGCAGGAAGTTGAGGATGGCAGAAGATATGATATGGAGGTTTGTTATATTGCATTTCATTGACAATAGGATGCACGATTCTGGTTCTAAACGTGAAAATCTTGATAGTCGGACATTGCCCAACTAAAAGCTAAATACAAGACGGAAATGAACCGGGATCGAAAACGATTGACCGACAAGTGTGAGATTTATTCCAATGAAATCAAATTCTTGAAGGCCAGTGTTCATCGAGAACGCGGTTTTCGGGCAGACCTTTGTCATCAGAAAAACTTTTTAATAGCAATAATCGGAGGACCGGATTTGTGGTATGTGAAACTCGGCAATGAAGTATTACGATTGAAGTCCCACGATAACACTTTTGCCCTTTCTTTTCAGTCAAGAAGCAGTTTCTATAATGCTCCGTAGCGAAAGGCTTTTTCGAAATGATGATTGTGAAGAGTCCTCTCTATTAAACCGTTTTCGATGTGTGGTTACTGCTATAATTGCAATTCAGCGTATGAGGTAAGCTGAATCGATCATGTTACATTCGAGAGCAAACTTACTCGTACTAACTGATGTCCTCGATCTATAGGATTATGAGGCATAATTGGGCTAATAAATTGGAGCTGAAGCGTCTCGTGAAACAACAGCGACACGCTCTGCGCTAATACTAATATTATCACTTGTCTTGATTTCCAACATATGGCGTCTAGATAGATATTATACATATAAATATTATATTCGGATCTTCCAATTTGTACAATAATTGACATAATAATTATTTACAAGATTTTTGCATATCGATATCATGTTCTTGCAAATTCTGTAATACTTTACAAATAAAAATTGAACGTATTTAAATAAAAAATATTAGTAATGTTTTTCAAGTAAAGTATGATAATAGGGATTGGGATTGAGGTGAGTTGCATTTTCTTAGTAATAGCTATTATCACACTAAAGGTTCATAAGTGAATTGGTTATTATTGTAAATTAACCCAAAGGTCAATCGTTTCGCTTTTATGCTGACGATTGGTTTACACCGACACAAGCTGTTTCTACTCGTAACACGGAAACAAAGATGTAATATCTTGTTAAGCAAATGCTTCGAATTCAGTATAAATACATCAAAACCATTCTCGCAACTATTTAACCACCTCTCTTCTTCATCAACAACTGGTTTTGTATTGGGTTTATCAGTACCAACGCAACTTTTAGATTTAAATATGATAATAGGAATGTACATCACTCGATCGTTCTAGCAATGTCATATAATTGATGGCGATATATTAATATACTGTACATTGTCGAAGATATAACATCATTCATGATTGTTTTCTATGTACACTATATATCGAATATGTATTGTATTTATGAAAATGTGAAATGTCTTGATGACTGATGACGAAAATATATCAAATATGACATACAAAAAACGAGAATGTGGAAATGATTTTTTGAATGAAATCAGGAATGTAGTAACACAAATAATTAATACAAAAAAAAAAAAGATTTCGAAAATAACATCTACATAATTAATATTATATCATACAACAATCACAGCGGAGGATAAAACGTAACAGATCAACGACAGAATCGTTGATATGATATGATGACAATGGCACACACAATATTTAATCATTAGCCCCCCAACTTATGTATTGTTCGGCGATGTAGGCCACACAACTCTGATCTGTCTTGGGTCGAATATATTATCGTGAATGAATAGCCTCGCTTTCCGATTCTATCATTCACGTCTAAAATCGACCGCGAGAAGTTCGATTCTTCTCTGACCTTCAAATTGCTCAATATCTGTATAATGCAATTGTTCTGTTCTTTTGAAGGTACTTTTATGCCTAACAGTCCTCGATTATCATTTTGATTCTCGGATCGGCTTGGGTGGTATCAATCGGCTTCCTGTTCTACTGCTATCGCTCGATGCTGATGATGTTAAACGGGTTGGTACTGTAGGCGTTGGTGAAGCGATTTCACTGTTAGTACTTTTTTTTGATTTTGCTGGCGTAGGTTTTGGAATCGATGATGATTTGGTATGGCCTTTAATGGACGTTTTCCTTAGTGTGCTGGCGTTCCCTGGTGGCTTCCAAGGGGGGTTTATGTATGGTGGGGGCTGATATGCTATTCTTTTGCCGACACTGGAAAGGTTGCTCTGAATCTCTTCTGTCATTTGTCTCAAAAGCGCATTCTCCATCAGTTCTTTCCTTTGGTTGATCATCTGGAGTAAAATATACAACTTTAATCAGTATTTTCAAGATACAAGCGAATATCATATTGATTACATATTCGCTCTTACCTGCAACCCATTCAGTGCTTTGGTTATTGTAGCATCTCGTCTCTCAATTTGCTCAAGCAAGCGTTTGTGCTCATCCATGAAAGTAGCAACCTAATTACCAGATTCGTATACTAAGTTGCGTGCCATGTTTAAAAAGAATGGCATGGGCCAATTAATATTTCTATCATACCTGTTCTTCGAGGTTCTTTACTCTTTCTCTCTCATAATCCGTATTCTTGTTCTTTTCCTCAAGTTGCGTTCGCATTTCGGTGGAATGCTATCGTAGATGCTGAAATGTTAAAAAAGTTCTGTGTATCTTAACAAAATTTCATCAAATCGTTGATACCTTCTTTTCTTGCGTCAAATTATCTTCAAGTTGGGTTATCCGTGTTTTAAGTTCATCAATCGCCGAATCCTTGTCGCGCAAACCCTAACAAGAACGAACATATAAAAAACCATTCTTCTACTAAAATTGAATATCAATATGAGATGCAATTATTCTTACCTCTTGCATATTTCTATACGTTTCTTCAGCTTTCGTTCGTGTATTCTCTGTATTTGCAAGTTTATCGTTCAATTTCGCGCGTTGAGCATTCTAATAATAGATTCAGATGTGAGCAAATATCAACTAATACTTAACAAAATACACGTATCTTACCAAGTGTTTGATTTCACTTTCATGTTCAAGAATTATGTTTTTCTTGTTTTCCACCTCATCATTTAATGATTCGACCTGTGAACGGAGGCTTTCCAAATCTTGGCGATGAGTATCCAACTCCTAAAGATTTGACAATAATTAGTTTAAATAAAGGAAATATTCAAAGGCTTTATTTAGTGAAATACTGACTGTACGCAATCGTTCTTGTTCTTTTCCATATCTCTCTGCACTCTCTTTAGCTCTATTGGTCTGGTTGGTGAGCTGCTGTCGAACATATTGGAGATCTCCATCACGTTCTTGTATTGCCATCTCCAGTTCAGCAATTCGCCGCTGTGCCGCCAATAATTGCTATAAAGAAACGAAAGACTTAATGATTTATTATCACCAACTTGAGTTCGATAAGATAGAATTAGCCAAACATACCTCATTGAGATCGTCTATTGTTTTTTCAAGCTCTTTCTTCTCTTTACGAAGTCTTTCTAATTCTTTATCATGCAGTTCTTTTTCTTTGAGCTTCTCACTTATAACATGACTTTCTCTTGATTTAGCCGCAGTGCTTTTTTCAAGCTCTATCTCATTCGCTTTTTCTAACTCCAAAATCCGCGCACTATAATTCTCCACTTCTTGTTTCAGATAAGCTATTTCTTTTGAGCTACTTGCTTGTGTAGCCGTTAATTCAGCCACTTTAGTTTTGCTCTGAGAGAGTTTCTATGTGTTACAATGAAAAATAATAATGATTGAGTACTGTATTACCGTTTTACTAGAGAAAAAAACTCACACATAATACTATGTAGAATGATGTTTTGCCTATACCATCTATACTGTACCTCTTTCAAACCGGATATCATTTCTTCTCGCAATTTATCCTCTGTTTCAGCTTCTTTTACGCTTGATTGTAATTGACTCTGCAATTCTTGAATCTCTTCCTCCTTCTCATACAAAGTTTTTTCCAAACCAGTTATCTGGAGCTTCAACTAATAAAAAGCAGTTTAAAACCGTTAATAAAGGTTTGGATAGCGAAGGCATATACAAGCACATGAACAAACCTTCTTGCTATTCTCTGTCAAATCTTGATTCTCCTTTGTTTTAGTATCAGTCTGCCTTTTAGCCTACAAAAAGTCCATATTTTATCGTTAGGAGTACGACAAACAAATGTATACTTATAACTGGACAAAGCGTTATAAAGTTCGCCCCCTATTGCAGAACATTCACACTCACTTTTTCGAGTGATAATTGTAATTCCGATATCTCGCGAGACTTTTCTTCGAGCTGTACTCTTATATCTTCTACACCCTCTTGGTGGCGCGCTTCATCTTCTTGGCGGCTCTGGTGCATTATATCAAGTTCTTGAAGAATTTGGTCGTACTCTTGCTGTAACTGCTCGATTTCCTGTAAATATGTTACTAAATATTAATATATTTGCTAGAAATCGATAAAAGAAAACATAAAGAATAGTTTGTATGGTTGACCTCTCTTAAGATCACATTTTCATTTCTCATTTGACTTTCAGCTCTATCCCAATCCTCTTCCACTTCGTGCATTGCATTCTCGTGTGCAATACTCAGATCTTCTAGCTCGAGAGACAGTTGATCAACCATCATAATCTTCTCTCGCAATTGAAGAGTTAACTCGGCAACTTTGTCACGTAACTGCCCAAGATTCTAATTAACATTCGTTATTGTTAGATGGAAGGCAACGACATTCAGCTGCATCAAACAAATAAAACTGAGCTACCTCCTCATATTGGTTACTAAATTCTCCGTTAAGTAACCGCGAAGACGACTCTCGTGATGATGCTACACTAGCAGGACGACCTCTCATACGCTCTAATTCTGCATATGCTTCCTCAACCTCATCATTTCGTTCAGATAGTTGACTTTTCAAACTTGCAATTTGCTATAATGTTATCAAATGTGAGGATCATTGGGAAGGGAAAAGCTGTACGTGTCAAACTTAAGGTAGCAAAAACAGAGGTACCAGTCACATCGTACCGCTTTCAAAGCTCTCTCCATTTCATCAGATCTTATCTCTTTCGAAGCTCTTTCTACTTCATCAGGTCCTAGTTTACTTAATCTTTCTTCCAAGAAATAAATCTTCATTTTCAAATCAAAGTTTTCTTTCTTTATTTCATCTATAACCTAAAAAAACCGCGCATATAAACGTTAGTAAAAACAAAAATAGACCAGCAAATTACCGGTGAAGTGACATAGCACTAACCCGTTCTTGTTCTTTTAACGTCATTTGAGTGTTCCTGGGTGGCGGGGCAACATTCCAGCGAGTGTTACGCTTAGGTCTGTTAGATCTCAAGTCTGTCGCGTCATTTTGTTTGCGGCCATTCGAGACCTCTGATCCGTTTTCGGCCAGCAGGCTTGAGGGGTTGAATGGTAACTTGATATTATGGATGGAATCATAATCTCCGGCTCCATCTGCAGACGGATCCTTGAATTCGTTGGAATCTTCTGAAAGCCCCTCCGAACGTTTGTTGTAGTTGACACCGTTAGAATTAACAACGATGTCGTCAACTCCAAACTCTTCGTTTGTGGGTGAGTACTTATCGTCTGTCATATACTAGTTATTCAACTGTTAACCTGATGAGCGAAAGGATCAGCAAGTTCCGTGCACGTCTCACGTTAATACAGTAATATTATGTGAGACATCTTGGTATTATTACTATCACACGTGATAATATACAAACGCATTAATATTAATTATCAAGTATGTTGTACGGATGGATTGTAACACATCAATAAATAGTAGGCATTAACTAACTGTACTTGCATTAACTACATGATCTCCGGAGAGAATCAAGGCTCCATCAAGCAATGCCCGGAGGAAGATTCCCCGAGCGCCATTTTCATCTCGATCCATTACAGTCCGGCACTTGGACATCTCGGCTCCTATTTTTTGAATGCCCCCACACCAGCTGCAAGTTTTTGAAGTATAGGCCTCATTTGGATAATAACAGGGACCCCTAATTCTTCTGCTTTAGCCACCAGATAGTGGCCCCAACAGAGCATTTTAACGAGCGGTTTTTCGTTATTTTTTACAAACTAAATGGTTTCACAAATCGGACGTTTAGTTTGACATTCAGTATTAAAGTTTGGGTTGTTTCATCATCCGAGTGACTTCTGGAACTCGTCGATTCCTTTACTTGCGGAGGTTTTTTGGTTTAAAGGCTCCATTTAGGCTTTCATTAGAAAGCTGTGATACGTTGGATGGTCAATCTATTGGTTGTATGACCAACCAACCACTGATCAATCTCACTCTCAGTCATTCATTCAGGCATTTATTTGCTTCTCGTAGTGTGTGCATTATTATGCAAGTGTAATGTAATGGGCGCTGTGCATTGCATGAGGCTAGAGTAAGAGTCCAGCGCATTGTAACGTCAGCATTGATTTTCGTGCCTTTGGGTGCGCATTTCCTTTGGTGTGTGGTTAAAGAGCTTGTTGTTGAGAACTTCCACGTTGAAATAGTCTCGGCAATCCAATAACGAGAATCGAGAAGGTGAACGGCTTTACCAATCATTTATTAAAGCGAGGGCCATTGAATATAAATATGGCACACGATACCACCGATCCAATTCACTTTGTGAAACTCACATCCATTGTTGAGTGGTTGTGTATTACTGATGCGATCTCCATTCCCCATACCATTAGCTTCGACAATGGTCGTTCGTCGGGCTAGGATTACCTCCCCCCCTTTTTTGTATCGACAAATTTGGTCTTGATACAGACTTTAGTTTCATCTCGCTTACCAATGATAGAGTGCAATATGCTATTGCGTTGCGCATACAATGATCATGCTTCTTGTTACAGCAGAAAGCAGATTGCTATGGTTATTCTTAGAAACCCCATGAATTTTTTCTTTCTCAATTCTGGCTACTATTAAGTTTGCTTGACATTAGATTCACTTGTGAAGTCGGTCTTACTAACTGTAAAAAGGATTTGTGGAGGTGGTTATTATTGTAGACGCGGCATTCGTCGTCGTACGCGGACGTTGTGTAACATATGGGAAGTAGTATGTCATCAACTCTTTGATGTTCCCCCAAAGTTTCTAATTTAAACCGATTAGATATGGAACTCTTCTTCAACCATTGACAGTTTGCGGGTTCTTATCTGCAAGTAAGAATGTTTTATGGGTGTTTTATTCATGCGTGTATGGGTGTTTTATACGTGTTTTATGAATGCCATTTTTGTACTTACTCTTTTACTCTGAGCGCGGTAAACCTATTCTACATAGAATAAAGTAACAATGGAGGCGATCCTAAAGATTTTAATTACTAACGACCTCGGCAGTGTAAGGATACACTGCAAAATTTGTTTGCCATGGGAAATAAATTCGTGTTAATACAATATGAAGCCGTTGAAATTATTAAGCCGAAACATTTGATGCAGGAGCTTGAATCGTGGTCTCGAACTCAAAATGAATATGCACAAATTATATAAAGCGTATGTTGGCGAAATCATTGAGACATCCTCAATGACAAATAAGAATTCCCGGCATTCTCAGCATAAGATCGACAACGTTTTGGACCATTACTATTATTATTATGATGCGACAGAAGCAAACCAAAAAGTTGATTTTTTTTGTGATATGGTTTTTCAAGTACCGAATCCCACCAATAAAATGCCAAGATTGTTGTGCGATCACAGAATAGACTTTTATTAGCAATCCTGACGGGGCCAGAACTATAGATCAGTCCTACTATCAAGGCATGCTATGCATACCCAACATGCCTACCCAAATGCTAACCAGGCATCTCACCAGCATTGTGTGCCTGTGTGGCCGGATCCTTTGAGGCTTGGTATGCAAATATTGCACCATACTTATATTGCTAATACCTATAGTAAGTTGTTACGGCGAGCTGAATTAGTGAGTCACATGGTAAAATCTTCCTCCGCAGTCAAACAACCACTAATTTTAGTTCAGTTTCACAAAAAGCATTGATGTAGTAATAGTAATAACAGCATTTCGAAAATCCGCAACGGTGCTACACTGCATTAGGAAACAAAATGTTGCGTTTTTTCCGCGACAGCACAAAACGCTATGATCAGTCTATATTTAACTGGTCTCTAGAAATAGTTAAAAGTGCGTTGCGTTTTTTCCGCGACAGCACAAAACGCTATAATTAGTCTATATTATATTTGCGCTTTTTCCGCGACGCTCAAACATATATAAGTAGCTCATATCCCATCGTCAAAAATTAATGTTGTCATGTTACGAA